AGACTCATAAGAACGAAACAGGCTAAGATTCAACGGACAAAGACGTACTGCATTGTCATATGCACATTCAACAATTGTACAATGTGTTACAATTCCTAATTAAGGAACAACATTGTATTCTTCCAATATATTAGACGGCATACGTAGAATGCTTCCAAAAACAGTTTAACTATTTTTCACTGTATTTGGAAGATTTAACGAAATTAAATATATCGAAATTTTGTTTAAGTGATCTTATGTTAATTATGTTTTATGTCAATTACATGTTACAGCAAGAAAAATAATTCACGTTGAAGGTTTATATGGTTGTTGAAATTTCATAAGAAATTTCAGAAAAATACAGTGGAAAATATTCAAACTGTGTAACAATTATCCCAGAAAACATTCTGTACAGAATATATTAAACCTGTTTGGTACCGCGTAACATTATAGCAAAAAACACTCCTTTGTATTTACAACTGTTTCACTACATCGCTCACTGTTTCGATTAATTTGCTTACATTCCTCTTAATAGTACATATTAATATCATTACATCAACACCCTATCGTTTCTATACTTTTGATTAATACGTAACCTCGACTTAACATCTTAAATAGAAGATGTATTCCTCTTTCTGTTCCTCAACGGACTAAGCCCAATATCAGTGATGGTAAATAATATTTTACAATCAGGATATATTCGGTGTCGATAAACATTTGTAAATGTGTACCTCGCGTATTTACAATTTCTCTTTAATTTATATAACTTCTATCGTTTCTCTTTTGCCATAAATAATAATAATAATATTATTATGCTACAACGCTCGTTATTCCTCATCAGTTTTTGGCATAGGAACCTTTTCGACTCACGCATCATCAAGCTTCTTTCTAATCAACGATACTAATACTGTTTGTTTAAATTATGCAAATACAATTCGTTCCTCATGGCAGCATCTACGATACCCTGAATCAACATACATGTATACGTGCACGCGTTGTATTCTAATATCATTCTGTTTGCCAACAATCAGCAAGTTGAGCCTGTCGGCCGATTATTATTGCATTTCCATTACACTGAGAGTAATTGTTGGCGGTATTTACGCTGAAATACTATCACATCAAGCTTTATAATTTGTTCCACAGCTGACACCTCAATATTTACACTCACGATGATGAACGTCATCTGTTATTTTCGCTTGATCATAATTGAGAATTTTCGTTTCATTAAAAAATTTTGATTTTCGTTTAGAATTTCTATTGAAATATGAATCTGGTAATGAGAGTAATACTTGTAGTTGCTCTTCCCATTATTTTTTCCTTTTTACTTAAACCTTCGTAAAACGACTCAATAAAATCATCCACTTTCCATGGAAAATGGCCACGAAACGTTCCAAGACACAAAACCATGTCCGGTTCACATAAAATGCTTCTACAAAACTGTGTAAATTACAAATACATAATTACAGATTCTTATATACAAACATACAGTCTCGTCATGGAATGGTATGACAATATATATTATATATTATCACCTAGCTTAAATACCCTTATAATTGTTTTTTTCTTTTGTGTCTATAATACAATGTTAAACTAAAAGTACACATTAGTGGCGAATATTGAACAATGTCGACGATGGCAGAACAAATAATAAATCCTGTTAAAAAAGAAAACGTCATGGATGATTAGAAGTGAAATTTACACGAATTGGATAAATGTACATGGTATACCCGAATTAACAAATGATAACCTTTCCAATTCGTGTAACGAGCATGCATCAAACGACGCGAAAGGCCGAATAATTACAACGAGAGATGAGATCAACGAAACCGATTCGTGAGGGTAAAGAATAAAAATGGCTTTCTATATTTCTCTGCCTAAGCAGACTTAAGGATAACGGAAAGAAATTCCTGCCGATTGAAGTTCAGTTTAACGCGTGACTGTTTCTACGTCTTAGGAACACCCTACTATTCACCGGATAAACTCTGGTCAATAGTATCAATGAGCTGCCAAGAGCAAGTTTAACGGGTGCTTGTCGACCACCCGGTAATCTGATAAACACGGTAGCTACAGCCGCAACGCCATCGTCAGTTGGTTCAACTGCCACGGGTCTCACATCGTTATGAAAGCTAACTAATTTATTTCGCCTACTTTTCCGCTGTGGTGAACTTGGACTGCAGTCGGTACCATCACGATCATAAATAATTGTAGCAGACGCGAATGGTCTTTTGGCCATGTGTAACATTTCAACAACGTGTCTCCTTCGTGCTCTTCGAACATCGGCTGCCTGTTTCGTTTTCCAAGCGACCACGCAAGCAGCTAAGAATAAAAAGAAACAGGAGAAAAACACAGAGAAAAAAACGAAGAGATCAATATGAAGTTGATCTTGTCGGAAGAAAATCATTCCATAGGCAGCTCGACCATTTATTTCCGAATTGACGGGATCAATTGCTCTTAGAGCAATGTGAAATTTCGTTTGATGAAGTTCGTGTTTATCCTGTGGTAAGGTCAATACCAATCGGTTTGTGAGATTCCTGACGACTAAAATTGTATTCCTCTTCTCAATTGTTAGAAAAGTAGCGAGACTTTCTGCGTAACATTCCATTACGATGTATTGTGGACCAGTGTTCCAATTTTGTTCAGGAGTGGTGCCATTAGAATGATAGTCAACGACTCTCATTTTACTGCGAGTATGTTTGTCAATCCACGAATTTCGTGGATCTTTGCGCAATACAAATCTGTTATCAAGTTCAACCTAGTGATTTAAAAACTTCTATAAAATTGCACATTTCGTAACTAGTAAGTGGAAGAAATATTTAAGTAAACATACATCCTGGTACCCCGTTGTTGTATTTATATTAACAACGAAAGAATCGTCGCGAGGACTAAAAAACAAATCCAAACCTCCTTGAGTTACATCGACCATAACTCTGATGTCAACATTCATGAAACGAGGTTGTACCATATAAAATACTGTCTGACCAGGATTCAGTGGTTTTGGTTTCATTTTGCATTCATCTGTAATCGATTTGAATAACAAGTTATGAATAATAAATAAAAAGTGTTGTGAAACATGTAGTAATTCCTTATTGGAGGAATACAAACCATAAGATCCTCCAAATATAATAGAATGTTGCAATTTGAGAAAAGTATTACTTAATTAAAGTGCATAGTGCACGAATATATGAATTTTACATAGTGTAAAATGTGTAATGTGTGTTATGAGAATGACGAGGATTTATATTAACAGAATTTTTTAATGGAGAGACAAAACATAAAATAGTAACGAATAACAATTTACTAAAATTCATTACCTATTAGTTTGGAGTCAAAACACATTTTGTTATCAAGTAACACTGTTTTATAACATTGATGACCCATAGTTGGATTTCCCGCATAATTTTCTTTGCATTTACTACATTGTACCATCCAGCATGGTGGTGGACCACCAGTATTTGTACCCTTTATAGGGCCACTAGTACAAGATGAATTACTTTCAGTATTATTACCACAATTGCATTTTTCTCCAGTTACAGGATCACAAGTGAATCCATGACCATGACACTCGCAACTAAAGAAATATTTCGTCAATATACTTCCCAACATATTTAGATATAAAAACTTTAAAAAATACTAACGGTCGACACACATCACGAAGATCTTCCGTTCCTCTGAAATAACCTGTCATGCATTCTCCACATTTGTCACCCTTTGTATTATTTCCACAGTTTATACACTTTGCTTTAGCTACCGGACCTTCAACTAACTGCTTCTTTAATAATTCTATAGACATTTTATTTATAGAGTTTGGATCCTGTAAATATAAAATCCGTTACTACTGGGTGTTTACTATTGATATTATATAAATTTGAAAGAAACTGAAATTACCGGTACAGTCATACTCTCGTTAATGCAAATTTGAGTATGCCCATTGCAGTATTCTAGGCATGGTACACACTGCCCATTATCAGCTGGATTTCCAACAAATAAAGGTAAGCATTTATCGCATTGTGGCCCCATTGTATTATTATGGCACTCTAGGCAGACATCTAATTTATCTGGACCTGCGCAATTACTATGGCCATTGCACTGGCACTGAATTGAACAATTGGCACCTACATAACCAAAATCACAACGGCAAACATTTGGTTCTACACATGTTCCTCGAACACATCCTTGCGTACACATTGGTACACAGATTTTTCTAAAAAGAAAGTAAAGTAAGAATACTTCATCGCATAGATAAGAAATAAATTTATATACTTTCTTTGTGATTAAATTATATTAAAATTTTACCTTCCAAATTCATTGATTGACGCTGGACTGAAAAAATAGAAATAAATTAATAGACTCTGTATATCGCGTGGCCAGATCAGGGAAATTGAGGGGAATACAGTTTACCCTCTCCTTGGAGTTACCGTAGGGCTCTGTGATGTTGCAGGGGTTGTTGAGGGGTGCTCGCTGATGAGGAATAGGATAGTGGAAAGGGTAAAGCGGAGTGAAGGAAATAAGGTCGTTTCACCTCTTTCTGGCTTCACTGTCTATTATGACATAATCAATATTAGAAAAGGAAAATATATTACGTTTCAGTTTTGTATCCATCACCGCAGATACACTCAAATCCTTCTTCCAAATCGAAACATTTTTCACTTTTCGGTGAACATGTGTGGTGACCATTAGTACATTCATTTTCTGGAGGACACCGTACATAATGCCAAGAGAATACCGGTTTCGATGTTACACTTGGTATTAACATTGTTACATTGTCTGGATTTTCGTATGTCTCTACATAATGTGGAAATAATGTAGTTATGAGCGCTGAAATCATTTGTAAATAAACATGGTTAAATGGAGCAATAAAAACATTTAAATAATTATATTCTTCCTTGATTATCTTACGTGGTTCTGTCTGAGGAAATTGTTGATGGTAAAGCATGTCGCATGTACCACCAGCTGGATGATCTGTAGGTGCTTCGAGTGAGCCCTCTATACATATTCCTTGACCAGTTATATTAGCAGAATCTAAAGAACACCATCCACAGTGTGAATGTTTCAGACATATACTGCATTGTTTAAAAACTGCACATGGTTCCGGACAATGATCAATATCAGAGCTACGCAGTACTAAACCACATACGCCACCAGCACAATAAAGCGGTTGATACGAAGGAGAGATGCACTAAAATTAAATTTCAAATAGATTTGCATTGTATTCTATCACATGTTTTAATTGTCTGAAGACATTACTACATATTATAATTTACTTCGTTAAGTTGTGTTGACCATCTACATTCCCGCCATCCTCCTTCAGCTCCTGTACCCTTCAGACAGCTTTTACAATCTTTGTGTTCAGCACATCTTTTTTCACATTGTGTACTCCCCATTTTAATACTGGATCTCTCAAAAATATCATCCGGTACACAATTCCAATCGTACACAGGTACACCTGTTACTGTAACTCCCAACTCAGCTAACAACATTTATAAAAGACTATAAAATACTATGTTTTATAAATAATTTCTCTGTTTCAAATAATTTGTATAACTTACAAGTCTTTAAGACCTGTCTTGTCCATGCGCAACCTTCGAGACTGTTACATTTTTCGCAGTCGCTTGCTGGACATTGTCGTTCACCACATTGATTTACATCTGCTACTGATATTTGCCTGACATAGCACTTATTTAACTCATTACAAACTTTCTCGTATGGTATACACTTTCCATTTGGACAATTTGTACACCATTTACACACTGGTTTCTCATTTTTATAATATGGCCATTCTGCTAAACATTCTGTACATGTTTTAAAATTTTGACACTTTCTGCTTGCCATCCATTCTGCATTGCAAACGATTCCATTCGATAGTTGAGCTTGAGTAACATTAATATCACATCTAAAATAAAAGAACTTTTAACATTTTCTGAATGATACAGAAAATTCGTTTAAACGAACATATCGATATACCTGTTATCTTTATTATCGGATACATCATTAGAGAAACAGAAAGAAGCATTGTTTCCACTAATTGTGGTAACAGCACAGAAGGAGCATCCAAAGTATTTTCTACAAGTTATTTTGTCTGTCCAGAGATTGCATAAATCTTCGGGTATGTTTATAAGAGTTACATGACTTTTAATTCCACCATCAAAACCGCCAACAACGTATACAGCATTAGATTCTGGATCAGCATGAGTCATAGCATGAGCATATGCTGGTGGTGGGGGACTTCCAATAACTTCCATATCTTTCGTTATTAAACGAATCCATAAATTACATGAATATTTATAAGCAATTAGTGAATCAGATGTATTGTGAGGATTTTGGCGACCACCAAATATAACCATGTATTCATCAGTGGTAACAGCAGAGTGAAGAAATCTAGCTTGAGGCTGTAATAAAACATTATTATTACAATCACTCTTCTTTAGTAAGATAATAAATAAGCATTCTCATACCAAACTATTCCCATCAGTAAGATCATCATCAAATGGTGGAAGTACAGACCACGTGCGAGTTGTATAATTTAAAGCATATAATTTATTCGAAATAAATGTTCGATTTATTGCATACGTATATCCACCAAAAATGTAAAAGCTATCTGACTTGCTGTGGTATACTGTTGAGTGGCCATAAACTCCTAATGGTCCATTTCCAATTGTGTTTATAGTGTCCCAAGTTTCTGATTCTAAGTTGAACTCCCATACAGTGTCCAGATAACCATATTTAGGACTAAATCCTCCGATCAGTATTAGACTCTCCGATTCTCCATTTCTACGTAATGTCAATGTATGCCCAGCTAAAGGCGGTGGTTCTCTTTTAGATTCATCTTGCATAATTTGCATCCATCTCTGATTTTGCAAACTGAATTTCCAGAAATCGCTCAACGTATTGTTAGATAATCCTTGAACATCCTCTTCTTTCATCGACAAACCACCGTAAACGTATATCTGCTGCCTACTGTGGACTATTTCAGTCGCATGGAAATATCTACCTTGAGGCATAGAAGCTTCCGAAGTAGATTCTACAGTAATAGGCATCCAAGTGTTATTTTTAGTGTCAAAAAGTCTAATATCATTCAAAGGACCATGGCTAAGAGAATATCCACCAAACATCCAAAGACTGCCCCTTCTGTCTGCGACTAGTGTGTGGCCAAATCTTGGTAAAGTTTTTCGTAAATGGTCTAAGTGATCTGTTAAATACTCAGAATTAAATAACTCAGTAAAGATTAACTGATGGTCTTTAATTTTAATTGAGCAATCATGTCCTCCATAGCCAACTGCACATACACAGCGTCCGTAACCCTTATCACAAGTTCCTTGCTTTTTAGATGACGTACAGTTATTTGGACATATTTCAATATCACAATTGATTCCTATAAAACCAACTTTACATAAACAATTTCCGTTTCGACATTCCCGATTTCCAGGACAATTGTTACACGTTATTATTACGTAACTTGCATTGAACCCTTCCACCTCATCCAGTTGTTTATAGTGCACGGTAAGGAATCCAGACTTAGCTTCTACTGTTACCGGATAATCTGTACTTTCTGTACAATAAACACCTAAGAGTTGACTCTGATGACTAGTAGTTGAAGAAACAAATTCAGGAAGTCCGTCGTATACGTAAATACTATTCTCTTGACAACTAACATTAATATCATCGTGTATAGTAAATTGTATTACACTTTGTATTCCTGAAAGCATTGTATCCGATGAAAGATCCGTTTTCGGACTGACTATCCAGAGACATTCTCTTGTTGGCGATTCTCCGAAATGACTTTCCCATAAAGACAATTGCGAGTGTCTGCTTCCGAGACCTTGTTTACCAGTTCCTTCACCTCCTAACATACCCCGTGATATACAACCGTAATAACACATTCCACCATTTCTCGGATCACCATAATATCCTTTCTTACAGAACTGACACATATATCCTTGAGTATTATCGCGACAGAAACATATACCAGTCTGTCGGTCACAAATACCTAGATCCTTATCTCCGTGTTCATTGCAATTACATTTTTTGCATCCAAGTGGTGTTGTGGCATTACCGTAACTACCCGCTTTACATTCCTCACAATACCTGCCAGTCGTCCAATTTTGACACTCGTCGCAAATACCTGGACCTTGCACACAAGTAGAATGATTGTAACAACCACAATTTGTTCTACAGTCTGGTCCTGTCCAACCTAGATAACATTCGCATTTGTAATCCGGTGCTTCGCTACAATAACCATTAACACATTTTTCGAAGCATGTTTTTGTGCAATTTTCTTTGCCATCTCCGTTGAAACCTCTTTTACATTGGCAGCTGAAACTTCCATGAGTATTAGTGCATAATGCATCAGGATGACAGTCATGCAAACCTAAATCACATTCGTCGACATCTGGACACTGAGCATATGCCCATCCTGCTTCGTCAGCTTCTAACGTAGTGTTTTGATATTCATTAATGACTAAGCTACAATTAACATGCGGTTGATTGAAGTCTCCTTGCACACATGCTCCCAAAATAGGATTTTCCAGACTATAACACCAACCACAACTTAACGAATGCAGGCAGTTGGAACAGTTTGTATGTCGACTACAGCTTTTGCATTGGTCATTGCCTGTTAAAGATGATCCGGACCTTGAGGTTACTCCCATAAGACCGGCTTGATCCATCCATTCTCGACATAAACCAAACTGATATTCGGACGTATATATCGAAAAAGAAAAGCATTCTTGTGTAGCTTCGCACCATACACATCTTCCACGTTCATCTAAACACTGAGTGCAATTTGAACGCTGTCTGCATGGAATTGGACATTGGTCAAGACTAACAACGGCGTTAGGCAATCTACCTATTCTTGCGCACCGAGCTTCTTCTGTCCACCATTCGCATAAATTGCTACCAACGCAAGATTCACAGGAAATGTAATTAGAACAGTTAGCACAGGCAGAAGGTGTGATGGTTAGATAATGCCATTCACGAATCGGATTGCCATCTTCGTCCCATTCCATGTCAGCCACGCAACTTTCTGTTTCGTTGATTGATCTTGAGAGGCATTTATTAATAATATCGCACCAGCCACATGATGAATCAGTCAAGCAATGAAGACAATTTTTATACTGATGGCAGGATCCGTTTTGATATGGTTCAAGATATTCGAATGTAAAAACTTTTGGATTTTCAGTTTTCTTATTGTGAGTGATTTCCATTTTACTTGCATACGCATAACTTGTAGTAACCATTCTTTTTGATTCAAAGTCTAATAGATACCGACCTGGCAGTAACATCATCTGATGTCCATCAGGCCATTTTGTTGGTATACATTGTGATGTTTCAGCAGTTAAATTTGCAACTAATTCCTGAAAATGTGTGAAATAAAAGAATTTACATATTATACACATAGAACAATACAGTGGTTTAGATTAATAAAAAACGTGACGATAATTTACCAATTCTTGAGGATCGTCGCTTCGTGATACGTGTAGAGTTGCACTGTTATAACTGACACAAATCTTTAAGTGTTCCACTGCACTGTCCCAATAATATTGCGGTGGTCTTAAGAATCCAATTAACCTAGCTATCATTTCTCCGCCGAGGGCAGACTCAGTTTTTGCTCCTTGCATGGACGGAACATTAAAATCAACTGTTGTAGCATTGACTATTGTTACTGAGTCAGGTTGGCTAAAATTTACTGGAGGCTTGTATTTTAAAAATGTTAGTCCTGGCCTTTTATCCATTTCACGACATTCCTCTACTTTTATAATTTCAGTACCCTTAGGACCCCACCATCCAGGTATCTGAGATAGCGTATCATCTCGAAGACCACAGACCCCATAATTATCATCTTTGTGATGACATCGAGCGTTTTGAACACACCAAGTACAAGTTCCTAAATTTAACTTGTTGGAAATTGATTTCTTTCCACGAGCAGTTGTGCCCCATCCTCCACCAGGTTGACCATGTATTAAACAAGAATGACAATCTCCGAGTGCAGGACAAACGCCTGGGCAACGAGTTGTCTGAAGATTAGTCGTGCAATTACTACCAATAGTTCTACCATAGCATATCTGGAATAAATAAAAAAATATTTGGAAGTTATTTATTTTTTGAAAAGGGATACAAAAATTATTTGGATATTTATTATATTACAAGATACCTCGTCCGCTGAGCACCAACCGCATTCAGGATTGGCTGAACATTCCATTAGACTTTTATGCCTTGAACATATTTGTTCAGGTTCTATGTAATCTTCATCTCCTGGCGCGAGCATCGGTGGTAATGTGTAAGCAAGTAAATCTGCATTTACATTTCCATGATAACCACCGACTAATAACAAAGTGTTTCCATTACGTACATCTGCTGCATGTGCAAAAACTCCTTGTTGTTTCGGATAACGCGAATCTAAAAATAATATTAGAAATAATGTTTGTAGTAAAAGTATTTGATATTTTTAGGATTTCTCAATAAACGTATCGAGATTTTAGCTTACCTTTGTCGTTTAAACCTAGTACGTCATGACTTACCCAGGCGTGACAGCCTAAGTGATAAAGATACATTTGATTATCATAACAAATTTCTTCTTTATTATGTCTGTGAGAATATCCACCAAACACAACTAAATAATTCCCTGCAAAATCAATTTAACTGAATTTGTATTGTATATTATTATAATCTAGTTGGAATGCAATTGAAATCCGTCAATGTAATTACCTATAATATTGCTAGTATGAAATGCCCGTTCTCTGGGAACATAAGTGTCTCTCAAATGTGCTCTTGGATAATGAATTTCAGACCAAACTTTTCTATCAAGTTGAAATACAAACATTCTATCTGATAATTTACTGAACCGTGCTACGCTAGCCACTACTCCCCCATAAACTAAAAGAGAGTTGGTAGCACGGTGGTACACAGTTGAATGTGCAACTACACGTACATCTAGTTCTTTACCTCCTCGAGGATGTACTTCTTTCCATCTTTCTGTAGTTGCAGTAGGATCAGCTAAAATTTAAAAAAATACGAATGAAACTTTTCTAAGATAGCACACGCATTTCTAAGATAGTCCAATATGAGCTTACATAAATTCAATTTAAGTTTATACAGACTAGATGAAAATTCACCATCGACTGTACTACCACCGAAAAGGTAAATATGATCGTTTGCTAAAGTAAGGGTATGTCTTGTTAATGGCGGTGGATAAAATGGAGAGTTTTTAGCTCTTAATGTCCAAATACGTGTATTAACGTTATAATGCCATAGTTCATTTGATAAAGAACCATCCTGCACCTTTCCTCCATAAATAACAAAACCATCTGAAAGTAGAAAGAATTATAAATTGTACAAATTTTCATTTTTTATTTGTAAATATGTGAATGTGCTATTGACCATCGTATCTACAAGCAGCGTGACCATATCGTGGACTTGGTTTAGGCAATTCATCAATAGGCGATTTAGTAGATTCTTCTTTGAATGATTCATCAGTTGCTGAATTAGGCTCTTGAATAAAAATATTCTCTTGAATAGGGTCTTCGACGCTCTGCTCTTCCCAATTTAATATATCGCTTTTTATATTCGGAGCATGAAGTTCTCGATATAAATCGAAATCTTCAAGGTTCCTTCGATGTCTGATATAGTAAACAATTAATAAATATTTTCAAGTAATAATTAATATTAAAACGATACTTACTAAATGTGAAATATACTACGTCCCTTACCTCGTAGTTTGTGCATATCGAGGTTTCGGATGCCTCGAATGTTTCTTTCGAAAATCATCGTTCCTTTCTATTTTAAGTATACCAACTTTTCTGTCATGTGCTTTATGTTCTGGTGTATTCCTAAATTCTGACCAACCATGCCCATTTTCTACATTTCCACGATTATGTAAGCTAAAAGTGTTATTGTCTTTAATACTGTAGAGTACCCTCCACATGAGGGATGTACGGCGAACACCATATAATTCTTTTGCACCAGCATCTATTCGCTCTAATTCAGTGCCAATGAGCATAGGATCTAAATATTCTGCAGATGAAGTGCGTTCTGTTTTGAAAGGACAATTATAACATGTTAGAGACATGATATAAAACATAATATAATATATTATAATATGTATTAATATATAATATGTTAATTCTTCTAACTATAATAAAAAACTTTAGATCTTACCTAATATATTACCAAACGCATCTTCCCACTGACTTGTACCAAATTGATACACTTCCAAATCACTGAGTATATTGTTGAGATCATAGCCACCAAAAACATAAAGAGAATCTGTTTCCTTTATGTAGACTGCAGTATGTGCTGCTCGTGGCCTTAATCCACCTTCAGAATGCGAAAGCCAGTGCCACCTATTTAATATAAATTATATTTAGAAGATAATATTCAATCATTTTTAATGAATTCAAAAGTTCAATGACATACTTATTCCCTTCTGGATGAGTTTTATGCAATGAACAAGACTGTCCTGAATATCCATCGTGACACTGACACCGTTTTGTATTACATTCACCACCATAACTACAATTGTTTGGACAAAGTGCTCTAGAGCAATCTCTCCCGCCCCAATCGTTCTCGCAGACGCATTTATTATTAATACATTTTCCATGATTTGTACAATTATTTGGACAATTTGTAACTGAGAATTCTGCATGAAAACCATCCAAGACGTAATTTGTATCACTATATAATAATATTAGCATCTGTAAAGGAAAAATAAAAGTATTATTTCTCCTTCTAGATTAAACTACTTGAATTATTCATAAGAATATAATTTGTATCATTTATTCTGCAAGATCGCATGTTCGCTTACATAACCAGATGATGATGTCACTTGCTGTGGTTCCGTTTTTCCACTGAAACTTCCTAAAAGAGGAGATCTAAAAGAATCTCCATCGTAAACGAAAACATAATCATAGCTACATTCTGTTCCCATGGTACGAAAACTTAAAGTAATAAATTGACGGCTGTTGTTCGCTGCAAAATAGTAAATGCATATTGAATAACTACAAATAAAACAAATAATTATGAAGAAGTTATAAAAGTTCAAGAAGATCTTTACCTTTTATGAGCCATTCACAGTGAGAATCTTGAGTATAATTTGAGCCTAAAGGTCCATCGCTAATGATTCCCCAAGAATCAGTAAAAACTTTCCTTGTTTTATCACATGGAATCTGTTTTGGAGATGTTTGTGGAGCTAGTTGTAAGCCCCGCAAAAAGCAACTCCACATTGCAATCCATACTGTGGTGGACAAGACCCACCCCATTACAGTATATTTGCCTCAATACTGCTGGATAAAAGAAAGCTCATCATCCACACTCATTGGAATGTTTCTTTGAGCAATTACGTTGCAAAGATCTCACGGAATAAGTTACATCTAAAAAAGATATTTTTACATTAATTCCATAATTTTATAATAATTTAGTTCTTATAAAAATTATTTTTCTTAAAGAAATTTAAAAAAATAGTTTTGTTTTAAATAATTTAAAAATAATTTAAGTATTTCATTGAAAACAAAATACATTAAAATCTTAGTGAAACCAAAATTGTTTTTATATAAAACAATCTATGCAATTAGTGTAAATGAAAACATTAGAATATTATTATCTACAAATAAAAATATTTGTATAATTGGAAAATAATTGATACAAGATATAATTGTCATTCAATAAGTAGTGTGCAATAAAATTTATATACTGGTGATTGTTTATAAAAATATTTATTAATTCGATACCATAAGAACAACTTCAATACACTGTAATAATTGTCGAAGTGCACGCTGTCACAATGACACTGTACAATAATAATGCAACGTTGAACATACTGTGTCCAGAATGTATACACTTATTCAATAAAAAATATTATACTATAATAAACATCAGCGCACAAGTAATATAACGCGAAACCTGTAGAGTTCAACGAAGAAAGAATTAAAAGTTGACTACACTGATGTTAGCAAAAACAAATCTGAAGAACATTCTTTATTGAAATAGATACAAGAGAATCTCAGCTGCGATTGAATCAAAACATTATGTACGTATACACACATACATGTCAGAAAAATCTGCACCGTGCTATGTTCTGGATAGTTGCATTCTCTAAACGCCAGTTATATCGAAACCATATACCGCCAATACCGAGGTTCAAATATTTAGTGCGATACGATAAGCATTGAAATAAATGTGTAAATACGAACAGATGAGAATTATCGCGTAAACTCTGTTCGGCCTCGCCTGTTGACACCTTAACTGTCTCTGCATACGAGGTCAGGGTGGGGGGTTCTTCGACCGCCATTAAATTCTCCTTGTTTCGAACGCGGTTTCGATATTCGAAAGTTTCCAGGGACACTTCGACTGAGAAACTGTCATACAAATACAGATAGATACAAAATATACACTTCATATTGTAAATAGTAAATAGGCAACTTTGTTTTACTTGCGTTATAGTAAAAATGAATTTTATTTCATAAGTTTTAATTACATAATAAGCAAAAATACTAGGAATACTGGACTGGAATTCGTGTGTTTTAATTCATTAATTGTTTTCTTCTTATCTATAGTATTTAATTATACTTTTAACATATTACATAAAACTGTTTTATGTTTTTACTAAGGAAAATAGAACCAATTGCATTTGAAAATTATAGGAAAATGAAAATATGTATAATGTAAGAATAAATGTATTATATTTATTAATTCTGTATAGTCTCATATGAGTTATTCGTAAAAATTGAAATCTGATGAAAAACTGAACTTCTTTGTGAAATTTATCCTATGCCAAGCTTATTATAATAAACTCAGCCTTAAAGTGCGGTATGCAAAAGATTTTCTTAAGAATGCACATTTTCAAAAGGTAATATTTTCCATAATCCCTAATATAGGTTTTTAATAGCTATTAATTTAATTTTTATTGCGCAAATAAATATTATTACAACAGTCGTTACACTTACATTTTAAATGACTGATGTCGTGAAGATAAGTTTTTAATTTGGAAACTGTTACTGTTATCACATTATGATCGCATTTTTTTATAAATTCTTTTGAATTAAAAAATTTCAAAATATCATGATCGAAATTACACATTTGTAGTATCGTGTAATTCTTTTATTAAGTTTTTATTATTCGTAATATTTTAATGGGATTTGGAAAAATTTAGAATACGTAGTAGTACTCATTCTCTTTCAAGTTAATATTACGAATAAAGTAGACATATAAAATTCTCAGTTGTTTATTGTATTGTAATGTAAACGACTCATAATGTGTTAACCATATATTACATTGAAAAACTACTTTTAAGTCAGGTACTCTCAGTAATTAAATTAAAAGCTTGAAATGCAAATGCAAAAATATTATTTCTTACTTAAATTGTCATATGTACGTCGATATATGTAGAATTTTTACAAAAAGTCGATTGATTATCGCATAATTTATAATTATGTACTTCTTGCACATTTAATTTATCATTATTAATAGGGAAAGATAAAAAGAGACACGTGATTATAAATCTGAAATATATATGATGTTTATCAGTATACATTTGGAGACTGTTAACGCATTAACCTATGTATCGGAATTTGCAAAATTCTACGAATGTATTAGTTGTAAACATACTGAACCAATTAATATCCGTCATTGGTTTATTATAATATATAGCTTCTATGACAATAGAAAAAATTAGCAATTGCTCTGTTTTAAGCACGTTAATCCGTGTAATTACATCACACATGATCCATTAACATATTCGTGGCATACTTTTTTAAACCATTAACAGATGCTTAATATATTGCCTGAATCTTAACGATTGATACAATCGCTCCCTTTTTTAATTATATAGCATACTACCAATGCGGTATAGTGATATAAATTATCTTCTCTGTTAAAAACTCTGAAAAGATATTTGCATGCTACTTGATTTTCCACTGATGCAGTTATTACAAGAATAATCGACATCGAAATTCAGGTCAGAATTTCACCTATAAAGTAAGTATGTATTTAAAAAATTTTATGGTTTTTCTTGCTTCACTAAAGATATCTGGTAAATATTTTAGAAACTTACTTCTGTATATAAATGAATTTTAACAATACCATATTATTTAATATGGACGAAAAGGCGATCCTTTTAGTAAAGATCTTTCATTTAGCGATGAAACATTTTTCTATTCTTTTCGTGGTTTAGTTTTAAGAATATTATATTACAAAATAGTTTCAGACATAAATAAATAAACGTGAAATGTTTCATGTCTACTAAAAATAGTTACCCTGCAGCTTTGTCAATGTTTCATGCTGTTGAAGGTAATCCCTATTTTCTGTTTATTTTCTGAATAATTTATAAAAAAAAGATATATACTCATAATGTCATACATTTTTCTTTAATGTTGCTTCACTGTCAATTTGTTTCTTAAATTAATTTTCAAATTTTTAAGCAAGGAATACAGAACAGTGATACTTTTATAAATTAAATTAAAATATAAGGGTATTTGTACTAAAAACTTATAACTTCAATATTTACCTACCACAGGCAGAGTAACAGGAGTTAAAATCTTTTTTCATAATTAACATCAGAATCAATTAATATTTTAAGAAAAGGCCATTATATAAAGTTTTAAACAAGATGTAATTATAAAATGAACAATCAAGTCGATCGATCACAAGAATGATAAAATGATGTGAAATATGCAATCGTTCAACTTTTTTGTGCATTATATACAGGATGTAAGTATACAATTTAAGTAATGGCCGGTAAGACGATCCAATTTTGCGGATCCTAGGACTGTACAGAAATTTTAAATTATTTAACTCCTTTCATGTAAATATTGTAGTAATTTATGAATTACAAAAGGCTTATTTCCATTTTCTTCTCCCGTTTGTGATAGGTCCTTTCCTAGAGAATCTCTTCTGCATTAAAACCAAGACAGAAATGGCTTCTTAAAGGAGAAACATCAAAGACAGTCCTTTGCAGACTCATCCTCTTCGTAAATCTCGGTTATCGCAGCCGTTTGTCCATGAACTATGCTTTTAGCTTTCGACGAATGGCCGAAAGATTTCGCACAAATGCTAAAATCTTTTGCCACTTCACTGATCTCTTTGCTCTCCTGATGGTCACATGTACTTGGTAATTTAACAGTTGACATGGGATATATATTATCGCCACCATTAGTATTCTTACCAAAAGATGCAAGCGAAGTTGTACCCGATGAGGTTGTAATAATGTTTCGCGATTTATCGACGTCCATGTAGTAATCCTATAACAAAAATAATTCACTGGTTTAGTTTTATAACAATTTAATTTTTCAAAGGATATTAATAGGCATAGTAATTATATCGAATACCAGAAAATTATAGTGAAAGCTTTTAATATACAGTTACCTTTTCTGCATTGAGGGAATTAGTTATTTGAGGTTGAGGTGGACAAGATTGATTGCAATGTGCTAAAGCAATCAAGGCTTTCTGATTTTCTCTAGCATCAACCAAGAATATGCTCTCCTTGACTTCTTTTGCGTTATACTCATCAATTCTGTAATTAGTAGAAATTATCGGTATTATAATAATATTACTTAAATATGTTATAAATAAAAATTCTATATTTAAAGATTATTTACTTGTCATAAATGACTGCATGCAATCCGAGTTTCTTCAAATGTTGAATTGTAGCCTTATCATTATTATCATCTCCCCAGCAAAAAATGATCAATCCAGCATCCTTTACAAATTTAACTTGAGATGGATCCCTAAGAATATCTTCTGTATGGACATTAATTCCTAAGATATCAGCAGCCAATGCATGTCTAACAGCCATTGAAATTGTCTGACACCTCGGATCATGATAAGTAGGATATTTCGAGGTGATCCCTTGTGTTAAAAATACTACCGGGTATTTGTTTTGTTTCAGACGAATCATGGCACAAATATCTGGATTAAAAGATGAGAAAACAATTTTTCTGTTTCCTCCATATTCTAGCACAACTTTGAGTATTATGTCCAAATACATATTGAGATCAAAGGGATGGTTAAGTTCGAAGGTGCCATCCTGCGCATATACATCATGAATTTAATATGTAAGGTCTATTGAAACAAAGTATGCAGACCTAAGTCTATCATATTTACCTTCAATTGCATAGTCCATTTAATTTCGATGTTAAACCCGACGTGTTGTTCTAATTCTTGTAACGCGGTTTTCAGTGTAGGAAAAGGTTGGTGATCTTCTAAATCCTCATCGAAAAATCTTGGATTTTTTTCTCGACCTTCAGCCACATGATAAACCTGCGAAAAAATATTTATTCAATAAGGATGCATGAAATGACAAAACAGTTCAATATGATATATTTTTTTAAGCCAGATGAATTAAACACTCTGAAATCATGTGAACACGTTAAAAATAATATCATGCTCATCATGATATTATTCACATTCCGTGAAAATGTGATTTATACACTTTTCGATGAAGTATACCTTGCACTTTACCTTCTGCACGGTAACAGATACGTGAAAACAGAGGGTGTGAAATCGATGAAGATTACTCCAAAAAAAAGTTGATCCTAAAGGTGAGGATCAAGAGGTACTTTCATAAAAATGGATTTATGAGATCATATTTATACAACGTGATTATCAGTGGATTACCTCTAATACTTATAATACCAGGGTTACATCTTTTAGCCTTAAAATCGAAGCATAATGTGCATATTGTAGCACTATGATGTGATTTTTACAAGTCACATATTGCGGCAGTATGATATGATTTTTGAAAAACAATTTTAGTCAGTTTTAGAATGCATTTTGTATAAGCATGCATCAAGTTGTTTAAAAAACCAATTTGTTATAAATTTTGGCGACAAGTTAGGTGGCGCAAGCGATATGAAAGCTCACCAGTTGGGTAACCCCCTGTTCAGCTTTATCAACGAAATACAGCACCTTACCCAACGAGTCTCCCGGGTAATAAAAATCCTGTTGAATATTAAAAAGAGACAAATACGAATACGTATGCTACTCCTATAAGTTCATGATTTTATGTCATGTATTTCTACCTACGATAGAATTCCCTGTGGCTATCGATTTTTCCTTCAATACAAAAAAGGACATAAAAAGCGAAATATTAATACGCGTAGCAATATAGGGAAGCTGCATTCCTTAGTGGTTAATATCAGGCAAGAAAGATTGTTATTAGATGCACCTTAATATTGGAAAGAGTGAAGACTTATATACTCAAAAAGAAAGTTTAATGATTTCCATTTACATTCCCTGCTGTTGCAGAATGTAAATGACAGTGCAATTTTATGTTACTGATGCTGACCTATTTTATCATGTGCTGTTTCTATTCATACAACTCGTGAACAAATTGTTAAATTTAAAAGAATTATCCGTGTCTGAAAATGACAAACATTTAACAATAAAATAAAAAAATAAAATTCCACATTTCT